GTGTGTGTCTAGTGGCGTGTTTCCAGGGGATCCTGAAGCGCATGGCCTCCCGGTCGACCCAAACCAGACCCGGGTACCGAGCGCTGTCCACCTGGGCCACCAGCCACGGCTTGAGGCGGATGCGTCGAGAGGTGACCGCCATCCTGGCCGACTAAATACAGAAAAATATAATTAAAGCGACTTAAAAAACACACAGTTGGCTATAAGAAAACCGACAGGAAAGAAAAATGAAGCGCGTTTTGTAAAAACGATCAAACTTACCTGTGTTTAAGTAGGAGTAAGCCTTGCTTGTTGGGCAGCTGGGAAGGAAGCCGTCCGTGTCCCGTGTGCGGGTCCAAACTCCCACAGACCCACTCCACGTAGAGTCAACTCAGACGAGGCAGGCCGACGAAAAACGATGACTGTAAAAACGTTTATCCCACTAAACACCTTGCGGAGCCGATACGTGTGAATACGTTTCTCCCTCACTTGGCTCGGCCCTTAAATCCCTCCTCCTCCTCCTTCTCTTCCTCCTCCACACCGAAACTCAGGTAGGTTGTCGAGCAAGATGGCGACCGAGCCAAACGTAAGCTTCAGTGCTTGAGCAGCCTTTCAAATCTCTATCCTTACTTTCATACCTTGATCCTCTATATAATGCGCTAAATATCCGCGAATATATTGTGAACAATCTCACGAACTCTTAAAGATCGCCCTCTTCTATTAATGTTATTATAACTAACCTTTCTGCCGACCGGAACGCACAGCCAATACAGCCAAGCTAAATATAGCTACAACACCGCAGTGTGCAATTTCATACTTTGCTAGCATGAAACTACACGAACAGGGAAAGAAACGCAAAGAGAAGGAACTTTTGAACTACAAAAATGGTATGACATCGAAACCCTGAAAATAATCCATAGACTTTGCTTTTGCAGAAGTTGAATCTCTTAAAACCGACATGAAAGCGATCAAATGTTCCAACGAAAATTATGACTGGTACATTGCTGAACTGCAACTGAAACTGAATGAGGTGGATAGTTATGGGAGGAGATGGAACTGAAGGCAACCCAAAATTGTGAACATCTTCTGTGCCATGTTACCTGACTCGCAACAGAAAATCTCAGATGACAGACATTGTCCACCGCCTGAGAAGGCATCAAGGAACAATTCAAACGAGTGAATCCCAGTACTCCTCCTTGGGGGGTCTTATTGGAAACTGAACAGCTCTGTCCTTAAACATGAGGCGATGTCTAAAATGGTTCATTCTTTAGTCCAACGCTTCTGGCATAAATCTTTGGTAGAAAGAACATTTTGTAACAAATGGGAACTCTTAAAATTTGAATTGTCAAAATCACCGAGGTAGAATCCTGCTAACCAAGGCTGAGGGACTCTCCCATCTTGCCAAATGAGACATCTCCCTTCAGAGAGGCTGACATGGGATTTAAAAATCTGCTGTAAAAAGGAATAAAGGCATAAAACCCATCAGCGAAATGTAGACAAAGTAAAAATTACCAATGACTGAGTTTAGTTTCAGCTCTGGCGTTGAATCTGTTGAGCACATGACATCATGCTGAGCTGAAACTCGCACTGCCAGCTGAGTTACATCAGCATATCAATGTTAGTTTACCTTCTGGATTACCAACCAGTCGGCTGCAGCACAAACTCATGCAAGAGCAGCTCTCCACACAAACAATAAAAGTAAATCATGGTTAAAGTCTAATTTTTTTTCCCACTCTGCATGTGTCATCGTTGGAGCCCAATCAAAAGTAATAAAGAAATCATAAAAATGTGTTTAATGGTACTTTTATTGATAAAAGCAATCACAGGGTAAATACATTCGACAGATCATAAAACATTTCAGCACCCCAAAGTGCAAATAAGGACAATACATATCAATGTTGTCTGGTTAGAATGTGGCTTGATGCAATCTGTAGCTAAACTAAAATGTGTACAAAAAAAACAACAACACACATTTCATATGGAAAAAGAGAAGCCAGAAGATCAGCAGCTGGTCAAACTCAAATGTTCCCACAAAAGAAAAAAAAAGTTTTAACTTAATTCAAAGGAGGATAAAGAAGGGAACCACATGTAGACCAAATATTCTTATGTGCACTGTAGAAGAATCCATATCCATCCCTACGCTTATTCACATTCATCTACATTTTCTGAAAACAAAAATCTCTTGCTGGATGCATTTTTATATGGAAATAAATAAATAAATAAATAGATAAATAAATAAATAAATAAATAAATGCAAAACTGAATTACAGAAGAGTGAATAGGATCAGTTTCATTATCCTCTCGTAGTGTCAGACGATCACATATTGGATGTAGATGGAGATAACTCAGAACAATATCTGTAACTGATTAACTTTAATACAGTGATCCCTTGTTTTTCACAGGGGTTGTGTTCTGAAAACAACCTGCGATAAGCGAAATCCACGAAGTAGAGTTATCTTTATGTTTTACAATTATTGCACAGCATAATTAGATACTCTACATTGAAACCAAAGAACAAAACCTGCTTTCAGATCAGTGGATGTGTGTGTGCATCAATTGGGCCTTGATGTGATCCGGAGTCATGTCCTTAAAGCGTCTCCTCCAACCTGCCCCGCGACATTCACAGCTGTATCCATGGCAGAGTGACGGATCTCGTCAAGCAAGCTTCCAGGCAGGTTTTACGCTGCCTCTGGCCACAGTTTTTTCTAGCAGGCATTCAAAGTTTTCAGCTTTCATCTCCTGAATGGCCAATCTGTATTACTTCTATTTAAATACTGTAACGTTATTGGCACACAGGTAGAGAAGGAGCTCGGAGACCTTTTAGCCAATCAGGACACAGAACACAATGCACTGAAAAAAACTGCCCCCCAAAAATCCGAGAAGCAGTGAGACCGCAAAAGGTGAGCCGCGTTATAGCAAGAGATCACTGATCACTCTGCAGCGAGGCGGACTTTGGCCTGCAGAACCACCAGCCATCTGCAGCGTCTGCACAGACTAATGCACTACTGCGTGGCGACGTTTCATAAGAAAAAGCTGAACAGCACACAAATCCAAAAGTATATTGTGTACACTTCTAATCAGGATTACATACAAGTACTTGTTTCCTTACAGGGGCGGGGGGAACCCTGCAGTGGTGAATAATATTTGTATAAAATAGTTGGTTCACAGCTTCACTGAGTCTGCAGAGCCTGGGCAATGTTCAGGCCTGGGTTGGGGGGCAGAGCCCAGCCCCCCTCCTGGCCCTGGTGGTTCTGCAGCAGGGTGTACAGCTCCTTCAGGTGGCTCACTATATTGTCCTTTATATCTGGGATTGAAATCTGCAGGCGCACGCTGCTGCTGTCAAAAGAAAGGTTGTCGTCTCCGGAAAACATCTCGCTTATCATCCGAGCCACCACAGGAATGACCTGAAAGGATGAAGAACAAGGAGTGTGAGAGGAAAACGGAGGACCATCTAATGAGTCCAGTCTGCACGAGCAAAAGACAAATTTACCATTACATTCATCATGATTTTTCGCTTTTGATTCATTCTATACTTTTTTTTTAAACCAATCAGCAGTGAGAAACTTTTAAAGGGGCAATTTTATGCATCAACTTTTTTTTATTTTTTTATTTTTTTAGCTTTACATCATGCTATAATTCCTCCGTTAAAAACACACCTGCAGTGTTTCCTTGATTATTTCATGCATGTCTGAGAAATCCTTTAATCTCCCATGGCAACCATTCAGCCGTGCAAAACGCCTGGAGCGCCGCCTTCAAGATGTGCTCAGAGAGGGACTATATTGCAGAAAAATGCTGCAAAATTTCGCAGTGCGATGTGTTGAAATTGGCCTCTGTTTCTTTAAGAAGCTCCTACTCTGACACTCCACCTTCACATCAATGAACCTTTATGAAGACCATTGATTCCTTAAAGTTGTAGTTTATGAGGAGCCCAGCAGGCTCACAAGCATTTAGGCTCCCTGAATGGCTGCAATGGAGATTAAAGTCAAACATGCATGAAAGACTCAAAGCAACATTGCAGGTGTGTGAAGGAATAACTGACATGATATGAAGCTAGAAGAGAGATTTTACATAGTACTGGCCTTTTAGTGCGCGTGTCACATTAATCTCAGATTAGAGAGCTGCTCTTTTAAACAAATCAAGCATGAAAACACAGCAAGATCTGCTGGTAATCCAGAATAACAAACACCAGCCTCATCATGAGCAGCAGCTGGAGGAGAAGTGAGGAGTTGCTGGGTTTTTATGAAATCAAAATGGTGTTATATCATAAGTTCTCAGTTTTGGCTATTATTTAAGTTAAAGTCCTGTATTTTTCACCTGGACCATGATGAGTTTTCGCTCTTTGGGTCTTCCATCGGGCCATTCCTCTCCAAAGCAGAGGCTGATTTCAAACTGAGGAGGGCTGGTCGCCTGGCCACGCTGCTGCGCTACAACACCTGCATAAATAAAAAAAATAAAGGAAAACTATAGTTATGATGTTACTCTAAAACATCATCACAGGGTTCCTACACACTAACGTTTTAGAACTTTAAATTCTTTTGCAGATTTATTTCACTATGGAAAATGGATAAATGGGTCATAAAAACATGGGCAGATAAATATGAGATGAACTGATGTGTAGATGGATGATGGAGATTTGTAGAAGGACAAATAAATCAACCATGTATCGATGGATGCTGCGTTGATTAATGGATGGACAAACAGATCAAAAAAACTATTGGACAAAGAAAAAGGAAATAAAGTCTGTCCAAAACTGGAAAATCTTAGAACGTATAGACAATGAATCCCTCCCTCCTACTCTAACCCAAGGTCTCATAAGCCTAATACCAAAAGCAAAAAAAGATTTACTCTTCATAGATAATTGGCACTCAATTTGCTTAATAAATAATGATTACAAAATATTTGCTAAAGGATCAAATCTGTTTTGGATTGCATAATTGATTAGACTCAATCTGGCTTCATGAAAAACAGATATATTTCCAATAACATTAGACTAGTACTTGATTTAATTGATTATTGAGATTTATTTTCCGATGACAGCTTTATTCTTTTTCTGGACTTTAAGGCTTTTGACACCATCAAACATAATTTCATATTTCACGCCTTAGAAATCTTTGGTTTTATCAAAACAATGTATACCAATGGAAATTGCTCAATCAAATTACATGCTGGTACTTCACCTCGTTTCTTCCTTAAACGAGGAGTCAGGCAAGGATGTCCCATATCGCCTTTTCCTCCTCTGCACTCAGTTACTCACTGATTCTATTAAACTGAGCCCACTAAAAGGAATCACAGTGGGTCGAGAAAGCATCATCTGCCAGTTGGCTGATGATACGTTATTTCTGAAAAACTCCTCTCAGATATCTTTAGCACTTGACATGATTGCTGTCCAAATATACTTTGTCCAAATATATATATAAAAATGTGAACTACTTGCTCTTAAATACTGCAACATTTCATTTATTTGTGGCATACCTGTAAAAGAATCTTACCTAGGAATTATCACAAAAAACAGAGATTCCAGGTGTCTCCTAAACTTTAACTCCATTATTGACAAGACCCCCCAAAAATTGAGCAGCAGAGAGATTTATCACCGAGGTAGAATCCTGCTAACCAAGGCTGAGGGACTCTCCCATCTTACATATGCTGCTTTATCTCTGCATGTAAAAAAAAATAAATAAAAAGGTTTCCAAAAATATTGACAAGATGCTTTTTAATTTTATTTGGAAAAACAAAACAGGAATCCATTTTCAGTTTGGAACTTCATACCAAACTTTGTCTTTTCTAAATTAGGAGGTCTAAATTTCCTTTTATTTTGCCAATATAGTGTTGAAAAGCTCCCCTCGAATCTATCCAGTTTTCACAAACAGATGCTTCTTGCCTGGTCATTGATTTACAAGCATAATTTCTCTCCACACAGGCATTACATTTGGAACAATAAAGACATTTTGCATACACACAAATCTTTATTTTACTCCAATTGGTTCACTCACAACATAGTTTTAGTTCATCAGTGGCTCAACTGTGATGGATCTTTAATGACTTATCAAGATTTTATTACAAAATACGGCACTATAATTCCTAGTAATGAATTTAATGCTGTAATAAATGCAATCCCTGCTGGAGCAGTTACCTTATTTAAAAGTTTAATGGGGAAAAAAAATCCCAACAGTTCCCTTTCGATTCAACCAAAGTTTAAATTGGTCAAATCTGTTTCTTCTCAACTCGTAATAGCAAGCGACACATGCGCTCATTATTTCAGAAAGATGCATAAACTCCATATGCAACATCTTATTGGAACACCGTAATTGATAACCTTAACTGGAAGAGGATTTGGATTTTATCAACTAAATATATGACAACTAAAAGTAAAAGAAGTATCCTTTAAAATTATTCACAGAATGTATCCATCCAAAACATTTCTACAATATTTTAATCCATGTGTCAGACATCTCAGTCCAGAAATGTGTCTCCCACATTCCAGAATAAATTGTAATTCTGCGTATTTGAGCCTGATTGGACCTGCTTCTCTGTACGCATGTTTCATGAGTGTTTTTGTTTGTAAGTAAGAGTGCTCAGAAACAGAGACAAAAGTCCTTTGTTATCAAATTATTTTTAAATGTTTGTCAGTCTTCAGTTTGTTTAACTTCATATTTTAGGAAACTGGCAGGAACAATGGTATTTTTCACTGCAAAGAAAAACAAACAGAAGGAGGCAAACCAGGCTGTTTCCTTTCCGTCCTGAGAGATTCATGGTTCTGTTGCCTCTGTGATGCTAATGACTGAGTTTCAGGATGGGGGTGATGGAAAGCACTGAAGAGGAGACTGGGGGAAGATACTCAGGGAAACACAAAAAGGTGAGAACGGAAAAACAAAAGCAGCTGGAAATAATTCTAACACTACAGAAACTCTAAGACTCATAATAAACTAGAAAGAGACTCCATGCAGAAAGACCCCAGCCTTGTTTCCGAACTGAGCAGAAACAAGGCTGATCTAATAACAACAAGGAGAAATCAGGAACCTTATGATGGAGGACTATGGTGAACTAATTGCCGTGGTAAAGAAACCAGTTAAGGATGATTTGCACTTTGTGACATGGTGAAATATTCTGCTGGAAGTGGTTATCAGAAGATGGGTACAAGGGACAGAGATGGTGGGAAACAATACTCTGGCTGCTCAGAGGACCACAAACTTTTTCAACCCATGCCGTGATCTTCTGTGTCAAAAGCACCAGTGAGATCCAGGAAAACAAAAACAGATTTATAATGGGAGTAAATATTTTGACCAGCAGCCCCTTTTAATGATCTTTACTAAATATGTCGGGTTAGGTATGGCCCAAAATAGATGCGCAGATGGACCAAGAAGAATTTGTGAGCCTGTGTGTTCAGACCCCAGCAGGTGAAGTGCTAATTTAAGTGGAGTCTTCAATTTGGGTCACAGTCAGTGGTTTGTGTCACTACGGAGGAAAAAGTTCGATGCATTCATCTGCTTTATGTGTGATGGGATCTGGATTCAATTAGGTGAATATTGACTAAACCGCATAAAAATGCGGCTAAATAGTCTATGTTAATATGTTTTGACAGGTAAAAAATAGTCCGGATCGGACCGGAATTATTTGCCTGATGGTGCTTGGGCTTCCAATAAGTATGCATTTAATGAGTTTGCAGCACACAGAGAAAACCTTAAGAGAATGTGTGATCAAGTTGTGTTGATCTACTTATTGTAGTTAGAGGAATAGCAGCTGACTGTTGAGGGAGGAAAGAAATTAAAGTGCAGATTCGCTAGACAGAAACAAGCGCAGTACGCTGGACAATAAATGCTCCACCGTTACGCTCCAATTAATCACACATGAGATGACAAACGCCAAATATACAGTATGTAGTTACACTGCTTACGTTAATGGTGTTTTAAAAACAAAACCAGTAAAAACTTAACTGAAGCAACATGTCAGATTCCCTCATCTCGATACTGAGAGCAGTCCGCTGGTTTCGTGTCCAGACTGTGATAAAGCGCAGCTGACCACTTGGTGCGCGGACAGTTTCAACTGAACATCGTGGAGCTCATTATTAATCATACTAAGAACAATATCTGTCAGAGAATCATCTCTGATCAGGACACTTCAACGGACCAGAGGCTTTGGAGCGTCTAGCGAAGCGGATCCGCGTCTGCGGGGTTTTTCTCCCGCAGGCCGAGGGACGTGATGCGGGATCAGGAAACGATCAGAGTTCTGCCGTCTTCTAATCACGTCATTTCGTGAAATGTTACCTGATTTCACAAACGGTCTCGCAGAGAAATACTAAATGTTTCATTTGATAAATTGGAAATAAAATGATTTATTTTTCTTTGACGGAGAACGAAAAAGCTCTAGCGCAACCTCTACTCCAAACTACGAATATTGTCGGCCCCCTTCGTTTTTTTTTGTTTTTTTGTTTTTTTGCGGAGGATCAGTAAATAACTTATTGGTGTTTTACCATCACCACCAGGTATGAAGTGCTTTAGCCTTTGAGTTGCACCACAGCGCAGCACAATTGAAACATCCAGGAGATCAATTTCAGCTTGTTTTTCTGAGTAGTAGCATGGGTACTGGGCCTGATATAAATCTATTTATCATCATATGGACTTATATAAAGTTTTATACATTTTCTTTTCATATATTTATTATTGTTTTTCTTCTTTAGGTTGGCTAAGAATGATTCCAAATAATGTATAGGAATGACCAGGTGCTGTTACATGTCAATCATCAGGACATGTAACAGTGAAATGTTACATGTCTGATTGGCACCTGGGGGGCCAATCAGATGTCAGGGAGGGCACTGGCCCAGAATATTCATACATTAAGACCAAATTCACTGAAATAAATGAAAAGAAAATCTGGTACCTTGAATGAAGGCTTGACTGAAAGTCACCAGCAGATGTCAGCATACTGTCAGCTATGTTCTCACGCTAAAGTCATGCATTTGCATTTCTCATCACCAGACATTTTTCTCCAGTAAATCTGGTCTTTTTTCACATGCATATAGATTGAGTAAACAGTGTCGTCAGTGGGTTGTGCAGCATGCACTCCTGTCACATCAGAGCCCGTGAGCAAAAGAAAGCCTTTATCTTTTTGCAAGATAACTGATGACCGATTAAATGAATAATACCAACACGCCTACTGAAATAATGCAGTAGCAGTGAAACGTAAGATAGTTGTACATTTGCAGGCATTTCACTTTCGGATATTTGTGAGCTTCTGTTTTGTTTCAGGCTGTAAATCAATCTTTATCTGACACAAACATCATAAAAATCACCCATCAGTGTATGTAATTATTGCCATAACACCTCTGGTGGCGAACAAGCTAAAAACAGTGCTGTAAGTTTATAAACAAAGAACCATGATGTCTCAAATATTTGCATATTTTTTTGCTACACAGCCAGATATTTGATCTGATAAGTTC